TATATTATAATGTGGCTTCGGCTCTCCGATTTCACATTAACAGGTTGATTTTCTCGCGCTACCGTGGCCACCTACAGACGTCGATCTCTACGTCGCCGTGGCTGTGTGATCTCACATTAACACGCGAATCTCTCACATTAACACGCTAATCTCTCACATTAACACGCTAAACTCTCACATTAACACGCTAATCTCTCACATTAACATGCTAATCTCTCACATTAACATGCCAATCTCTCACATTAACACGCTAAACTCTCACATTAACATGCTAATCTCTCACATTGACATGCTAATCTGTCACATTAACATGCTAATCTCTCACATTAACACGCCAATCTCTCACATTAACACGCTAATCTCTCACATTAACACACTAATCTCTCACATTAACATGCTAATCTCTCACATTAACACGCTAATCTCTCACATTAGCATGCTAATCTCTCGCATTAACACGCTAATCTCTCACATTAACATGCTTAATCTCTTACATTAACACGCTAATCTCTCGCATTAACATTGCCACCCGAGCACTCGAAGCGGAGGCCGCTCTCCGATCTTACATTAACATGCTAATTTATCTCATTAACATGCTAATTTTATCTCATTAACATCACTAGCCCCGCCCACTTCGTTCATGACCCTAGGACTACGCCCTGTAAAAGAGTCTGCATTTAGCAGACTCACAACCACCAACGCCATCACTACCGTCAACAGTACCACCATCAACCAGATTCCATCTTCTCTGGTCTCTACTGAAAGAATTTGGAATGTCTAACCACTGGCTACAGCTTTTTGTTTGATCTACAAAGTTACATTGACTTGACCTTTGACTAGCGTCTATCAACGGCCAGTGCAGATGTCAGCAGGACCCATCTTTAAGACTTTTACAGGAGGGACGGATGGGTCTGACTTTGAAAGATTTCAGCATATTTTTTTGCAATAACGAATTCCAATACACTGCATTTATACTTTACATTATATTGCAATTGTGCTCTTGCCATCATGGCAAGGGATCAATGATTTTTCATCTAAATGCCACGCCGAGAATTGTAACATCGCCCTCGAGCGTGACGACGTCACAATAAACTTCAATGAGATTCTAATATCCGACGCTTAGATTTGGTTTAATTCAGCAGGGAGGGCTCAATGACGCTGTTAGGCTCTGTTTGATGGGAGTCCTGCGACGATCCAGATGGCATGACGCAGTACAGAGCTTTGTTACAATCATGGTTACATAGGTCGGAATGCAAACTGACTTTGTTTAATGTTTAGCAACTACGTCTGGACTATGCCAAATTCAGTGACCTTTTAAATTAAGCCGTGGCTTATTCATTATACAATTGGTGACTGGGCTGCGACGATGACATCGATGCATGGCATCATTAAGGCCATCAAACCTCCTGGACATCTGTGAAAAAGAGCTTCATACTCATCGGATTCCTCCAGTATAGATACAGATTCTGATTCTGCACCCGCTTCGTGTAAGTCAAGGAACATTTTACCATAAGGGGCCGTCCATAAATGACGTCACGCACTAAGGGAGGGGGGGGGGGTCAGACATTTGTGACGATGTGTGACGAGGGGGGGGGGGGTTTGAGAAATGTGACGTTACATCAAAATGAGCAACTTTAAATAAACACAAACACGTTATACTTAATTAAATAGACTTTGTAATAAATGTCTTTCCTACAACATCAGAGTGCGGCGGCACATTAAATACGCACTACAATGACAATAGTTTAAAGCGATTTGAAGCATGTTTAAATTTTTTTTTTGGGGGGGGGGCAGCAGAGCTTTGTGACGTCATATTTGAGGGTTGGTCTGACTTTTTATGGACGGCCCCTAAGGTATTTTATGCAACTGGTCCGTTTTCGACAGAAGATTCGGCTTCACGCTCTGACGCACATTACCACTCTTGCGAGTTTAAACCCTTGGCACTTATCTAAAAAAAAGAAGTAAGCCGATAATTGTTTGATGTGGTAAGAATTCTAAACGGCCAGAGAAAGTCCACGCAAGAACAATTAAACTCTACCCTGCACAGCAGCTACTTTGCCGTATAAGGCCACTCGCTGAAGATTACGCACGAAACTGCCGCACAGGTCGTCAAGGAGGCAGTAAAATCAAATAATCACAATGAAGCTCTTGGCCGAGCTGTGTGTGTGTATATCCCAGTGTAATCTCCTCTCACGCCCTCGTTTCGTCTCGCGTGCACTAAATACTCATGACTTGTACACGCGCACACGTGCATCGAAAGCCGTCCCGAAAGTGTCATATCGGAGCTGGGACTATGAGTCGATTAGCCGATTGATGGACCGACACTTATGATCGAATATTATTTTTTTGTGTGTCCTGGTCGATCACTCGAGACACAAAACAAATTGTGTCCTGCCTCTCGGAGGCCGGAACCTCCCAACACCTATACAAGGCACGCCCGTGCAGTGTGTCAAGAGGCTGCTGATGAGGATGGTGATGATGATGACAATGACTTCACGAAGCTTGGGGCAAGTGCTGTTAGCGAGCGCACAAGACAAAGATCACGCGTATAGCCTTAACACACTGTAGGGGCAAGTGACGGCGAACAAAGACAAAGATCCCCCGTATAGCCTTAACACACTGTAGGGGCAAGTGACGGCGAACAAATACAAAGATCCCCCGTATAGCCTTAACACACTGTAGGGGCAAGTGACGGCGAACAAATACAAAGATCCCCCGTATAGCCTGTAACAGACTGTAGGGGCAAGTGCTGTTAGCGAGCAGCTATGAAGGCCGGAACGGTACACGAGGGGGTGGGTGGCCAGCACCACGCCGGACCGCCTTTGTATCCCCAGTGGCGATGCTTACACACCGCACCAGGTACTCGTTTGAGGCTGAGTCGACCTAGGGGAGGCCCAGGAACGGTTCAGATAATCGTCACTTGGTGTTGGCCGTGAGCGGGAATCGAACCCGGGTCGCCGGGTTCATAGCGCAGCGTAGCGCTAACCATTGCGCCACCGCTCCCCTAGATCCCCCAGGTGGTGGTGGTGGATAAGCACCACGCCCGGTCGCCTTTGTCTTCCCAATTGCGATGTTTACACACCACACCAGGTGTACTCAATTGAGGCTGAGTCGACCTAGGAGAGGTTCGGTTCGGGTAAAACTGTCACCGATGTTGACCGTGAGCGAGTAAACGAACTCGGGTCGCCAGGTTCAGAGCGCAGCACGCTCACCACGGGCGCGTCACAAAGGGGCCGTCCATAAATGACGTCACGCGATTTTGGACGATTTCCCCCCCCCCCCTCGTCACACGGCGTCACAAAAGTCAGACCCCCCCCTCAAATATGACGTCACAAAGCTCTGCCTCCCTCCCCCCCCAAAATATAAAACATGCTTCAAATCGCCCTAAACTATTGTCATTGTAGTGCGTATTTAATGTGGCGCTGCACTCTGATGTTGTAGGAGAAAACATTTATTAAAAAGTCTATTTAATTAAGTGGAACGTGTTGTCTATTTATTAAAAGTTGCGCATTTTGATGTGACGTCACATTTCTCAAACCTCCCCCCTCGTCACACATCGTCACAAATGTCTGAACCCCCCCCCCTAGGTGGTGACGTCATTTATGGACGGCCCCAACGCCAAAGATCTCCCCCGCCCCCCTGCATAGCCCTTCATAGAATGTTGTTGGCAAGTGTTGTTCGTGAGCACCCACGAAGGCCGGCATGGAAGTGGGTGGGTGGCCAACAACACGCCCACCCCCCCCCCCCCCAGTTACTGACAGAGTTGCGCGAACAGGAAAAGCCCTTGCAATGGTTTCCTAAAGGTCAGCCAAGTTGTAAATAAGTAACATAAAAAAAACTTTTTTTTTAAACACGCTTTTATTAAACGTACTAGTAATGGAAGAACTCCACTACTCTAGAAAGGGGCCCCGAAGCTTGCCACAACGTAAGGGACCCGTGGGGCAATTACAGCCAACGTTAGTTGACCTTGCTCAATTAGAGCCAAGCCGAAACATAACATGTGAAAATAATTTCGATTTAAAGCTTTCGTGACTGCAGGGATTCATTTTCTTGGTTCTTTCGGTAAAGTCACGTAGAAGGAAAAGAATAAAATAATAAAAATAAACAATAAAATAATTCTCACGACGTTTCGGCCACCTGAAAACGGCTGCTTGCGTTGTGGCCGAAACGTCGTGAGAATTATTTTATTGTTTTATTTTTATTATTTTATTATTTTCCTTCTACGTGACTTTACCGAAAGAACCAAGAAGATGTGAAAATAATGTTTAAAAATATTTATTTTTATTTTTAATGATATAATATAGTATTGTCATCAGTATGACATAAATATACCAAGTTGTCTTGACACGGAAAATCGTTATTATTTGGCTGCTATAAATTTCCACTTGATAAGCCACTTTGTTGAGCTATCATTTGTGGCCAGGTCGCTTCTGAAAAATAAATTAATAGCTGCTAGGATATAAAACATTGCATAGTTTTATTTTTGTCTTTTTTTAAAAACAGTGATTAGTTTACCTTTCCAATACTTTGCACTCCTCTTGTATTTTTTGTTTGTTTGTTGGTGTAACGTTTCGGACCCGTCCCTACTGGACATCTGCGAAAAAGCGCTTTATAGCTCATCGGATTCCTCTTGCAGTACCAATAATCCACCCCTCGTCGCATCTCTCCGTCAATGGCCTTTAACCTGTGACGTCATTACGCTGGACGCCGTGACGCCACGCGACATTTAAACAAGGTGGGGGGATTGGAGGGGAGGTTCGAAAAGCCACGTGGAATGTACCAACCACAAAACGGTACACGCCTTATTAAATATAACAAATATATTTATGTAAATGTAATAAACCGGAATTTGCTGATGCACATTAATTTAAATATACGGTATAATGTATTCACTATTTTATTTTTGGGATAAATAGTTAATTTTGTTGAAAAACTGTGAATACAAAATCAGTTTGGACCCCCGTGAGAGTGCGACACGTGGTAGCTCCCGCACCTCGTGTGGAGACGCGGTCCGGATGACAGTGCAGTACAGTGCAGTAGTGGCCTTGCACCGCGTCGCATACCACCAACATCTATATAAACACTACAGATACAACAACAAGAAGCGATAACATGAACGTTTAATGCGAGCCATGAACTCCAGCAGCGCCAAGTATCTGGTGATAGGCGGCGGCATAGCTGGCGTTTCCTGCGTGGAAGAGGTAAAGGTGTACAATACAACGCGTTGGCTTTCGCGAGCAATGCTATCAATAATAGTGTTTATTTGAGGTTAGATCGCGTAAAATATGAATGTGTCGTTAAACCACCACCACCCGACACAGCCAAATAGTAGTAAGGTTTGTCACGTAAACAGAACGTGGCCAATTCGTCACCAGTACAGCACACCGGCGTGTTGGAGAGTAAACCCACGACATTTACAATTGGACTTGGCTGTCGCCTGATGATGCTAGTTGCAATTACTGGCGAAACGTCGTACTCGGATTGTAAATGTGGATTCACTCTCCAACACACCGGTGTTGCTGTACTAGCAACGAATTGGCCACGTTCTGTTTACGTGACAGCCCTTAATAATTGGCTGTGTCGGGTGGTGGCGGGTTTAACAACACATTTATATTTACGCGATCTCACCCAAAATTAAAATCTTTATTATGGTGTACAGGATAGCAAGCACGAGTATGTGAAGCGTGTACAGCAGTGACGAATATCTGAACCGGTTCTGCGCCTCCCCTAGGTCGACTCAACCCAAAATGAGTACCATTTGCGGTGTGTAAATATCACCGTTGGGGAGACAAAGGCGGCCGGGCGTGTTGCTGGCCGGCCACCCCACCCCCTCGTGTGCCGTGCCGGCTTTTATCGGTGCTGCGAGCACCTACTCCAACAGTCTGTTAAGGCGAGACGGGGTGGATATTGTCTCATCGCATGTAAGTCCAGCATTGAACGCAAAGGTGGTTGGATCGCACCAATGTAGCTTCCCGTTGGTGTTGAGGAGGTGCGATACCCTGGATTGCCAGGAGAAGGCGGTAGAGACTTCCACCTGTTCCGTCTGTCTGGGATATCGAGTGTTCCCCCCTCGCACGCGTGGTGTTTGTATGTTGAACTTCTTTCGCCCCGTACGTAGCCAACCGTGCTAATTGGAGGAACGGGGGAAGGACAACAACACACCCACATGTAAACCCTCATTAATTGGCCGATAACATATTGATATATGGAGAACTGCAGAGCTAGGACAATTATTGGTAGTGCAGACTCAACGCGTGGCTGCTGATGCTGCTTCCTTAAATTATATATGGCCTCTTTCTCAATCCACTGCTGGATAATGCACTGACTAACGCGTCTCACAGTATTCTCTCGAAGAGAGAGAGAGAATCTGGTGGGTAAGCACAGATAATGTGAATGAATGGATGGCCCTTAGGGCCACGTGATTACTTATTGAGATCAGTGTTTAAATGTCATGCATTTTATTCAATCATGTGCCAACAGATCGCTTCCCTATGCCCTGACGATGACATCCTCCTCCTCACAGCATCCCCAGCCGTCAAGTCCGTCATCAACTGGAGGCAGGTGAGACCTTGAGAACAGCCACTCGCTCGCAAATCACCCCTTCATCCATCCACCAATCTATCGAACTACCCACTACAAAATGCCCACAATACCCATCCACCCACAAACCATCCCATCTATACCATCCACCCACAAACCATCCACCCACCCATAAAACAACCCATTCACCTACCCAACCATCCAAACTCACATTCGTGATAACACTGTAAGAGAAATAAATACCAACGACCTACCTGCTTCTCATGGGCAGGGTGGTGGGGGGGTGGAATCGGTAGGTGTAAGAGGTGCGTGCCCCCACGTCGCCCCGCACAGGTGTACGGAGCCCTGGAGCAGTTTGATGTGGAGGAGCGAGCAGGGAGTCACCTGGAGGCCGCTCACCCCAACGTGCGTGTCCACCTGGGCACGGCCTGCCGCTTGGATGCCGCTCGCAAGGTAGGCCCAACCACCGGTGCCAACCACTCGGACCGCCACCTGCAATTGTACGCACCTGCCACATGTAGCCGTGATGTGCCGCGTGTCTGTAGTTGAACAGTGTCTGTGAGCGGGGGGGGGGGGTGTGGCGGCCTTTGTGTGCGTGTCTCTACTCAAGGGCGTTCTCGTACATTTGCCGTGCACGGGAACCTGAATGATCTTGGAAGGAAATGTATTTCCGGGCAGGGGTGGGGGGGATTGAAAAGCTTTGGGAACAGTACACACAAAACACATCAACAGGGTAGCTATGCTGAAATATGAGGCGGTTCTTGTCTGACGCATGTACCTTACGTGCATATTAGGGTGAAAAGGTTTGCACCACCATAGTAAGTGCCCATCCATGCCCGCCAGCGTTGTGATGTGCTTGCGTTTGTGTCGTCGGTGGTGCCGTTACTCACTGGTATAAACCCGACGACCCAAGTTGGATTTCACGGTTAACATCACTGGCAATTATCTGAAACGGTCTTGGGCCTCCCCTAGGTCGACTCGGCCTCAAATGTGTACCTGGTGCGGGATGTTTAAACATCGCTGCTGGGGATACAAAGGCAGTCGTGGTGCTGGCCACCCACCCCATTGTGCGCTGTGCTGGCTTTCATAGGTGCTCGCTTACAGCACTTTCCCCAACAGTCTGTGCAGGCTACACGGGGGATCTTTGCCTTTGTTGTCCCGTGCGTGCGTGTGAAGGTCGTGCACACGGACGCGGGCGAGGAGCTCGCCTACGAGAGGCTCTGCATCTGCACGGGGGCACGACCCAAGGTCGTGGCCGATGGCAATCCCCACGTGCTGGGCATCCGGGACACGGACAGCACACAGGTGGGAAGCCCTCGGCCAGGGACGACTGCTGCCTACGTCTCTTACCTCTCTCCTCCCATCCCACTTCACTCTCATTCACATCTTCTCCTGTGATCGCTCCTCTCTCAACTCACGATGCGTTACTCCACACGCGTTCCTGCCTCTCCCCTCACATCTCTCCTGCCTCTTCTCAGCTCGCTACCTCTCCCCTCCCCATGCTTTCCCTTCCTGACCCTCATCTCATTCCACTCCCGTGCACATGCTGTGCAGTTCAATGGAGGGTTGTACTGCTCTTGTGAGAGATTCGCAGAGGTGGGACAAAGTCATTGTTATGCAAGTCCAAGTCGAGTCTCAAGTCATCAAATTCATGACTCGAGTCTGACTCGAGTCCAAGTCACATGACTCGAGTCCACACCTCAGAGGTGGGACAAAGTCATTGTTATGCAAGTCCAAGTCGAGTCTCAAGTCATCAAATTCATGACTCGAGTCTGACTCGAGTCCAAGTCACATGACTCGAGTCCACACCTCTGGAGATTCGATTGGATACTCAGTCTCATGACAGGTTGCCCATAGAACAATCAATATACAATTGTTGAATACGATGAACACATTAAAAAAGACGTACTCGTTGTTTGATTTATTTCTTCTCTTGCCCTGGCAGGAATTTCAAAAGAGGCTGGAAAAGGCGAGGCGGGTGGTGGTGATCGGGAACGGAGGGATTGCGCTTGAGCTCGTGTGAGTATCCACGGTGGCGAGATGTTAACTACTTCGCCTGGTATGGAGGCGGTCGTGGGTTTGATCCCGACCCTAACGCCTGTATATTTGCATGGTCTCCCCATGGTCGTGTGTATTCTTGTCTGGGTCCTCCGGTTTTTCCCTACACATTTAGAATCAACACTCGTTTAAGAGTATTTAGCTGATATAAATGTCCACGTGACGATAAGCCACTTCATTGAGCTATTACTTTTGGCCAGGTCACTTCTAAGAAAGAAATATGTAGCACAGTGGGCCTTGCCTGGTAAAATAACAACTATTTTAGTTTAGAGTGCATGTGCGCGCAGGCATGAGTGCATAGCTGGGACTGCCACAGCCTTAGAGGAGGACTCAAAGCATCTGCTCGGTGCTTCAGAATAGCCGTGCACTGGCCGTTTGTACACATAAACAAATCATGATGTACGACATGTAAACTTAATGCGTAGTAACACACAAATGTGCCAAAATTGGAAAATGACTGCAAAATTACTCAATGGGGATTGTACACATCAGTCATCATCCCCTTCTGGCAGACTCATGCCCCAGGTCACCATTGCATTTTTTTCTCAAGTGAAATTGGGCAAGTCTCTTGAATTCTCACCTGGTTAAACTAAACTTGAAAATTTAAACTACACGTAAAAATAATTCTGGTATCCTCGCATTTGAACCCACGAGTTTCCGTGATTCATGGTTACGACTGAGTTATCAAAAGAATCAGTGATTGTTCGTCTCATACGGGATTGTCCGTCTTGTCTGTCTTGTATATTCTGTCTCTACTTTGTGGCTTGGTGATGGAGATACCTCCGGAGCCAGAATTCCCATACATCAGCCATATAAGTTGTGAAAACAATCGACAATTGATTTTGATATTCACAATTCAATTCACGTATATTCGAGGATAATGGTAAATGGTTTAATCGATGAACCTCTGCATGCCCAGTTAATGCACTTAACCCCATACGCGGAGTAGTCTCGCCACCACAGGAGGGGCGACGTTGGATGCTGCCACGTGGTTTTTCCCCAGTGAGGTCATTTCAACCCCCACCTGACCGCACTTTGCCTGTCACCCACCACAGCCACGAGGTGCGGGGCTGCGACGTGATCTGGGCCATAAAGGACCGCGCCATCGGCACGTCATTCTTCGACGCCGGCGCCGCCGCCTTCTTCCTGCCGCACCTGGTTAAGACGGCGCCAGGGTCGGCGTCGGGCACCGTCTCTGGGCCCTGCAAGCGGCAGCGCTACGCGCCGGGGCGAGATTCACACGGTCCGGACCGCACCAACCCCCCCCCCTGCACCCCGCCCCAACCGCACCCTGCTGCACCCTGCGCTGTGATGCCCTCGCCACAGATTAAACCATCATGTGCTGCACCTCTGCATTGCAGACCACACTGCGCTGCCCTTGCTTCTCTGTGCTCTGATGCAGTACCATGCCGTATACACCTTTGCGCTACAGGCGACACCGCCGCGCTTTGCTACGGCACTGAATATGCCCAACGCGTAGGTGGCGGCGTCGCTCATAATCATCATGAGACCGAGGCTGAACTGACCCTGGCCAGAATTTCAAATTGGAATCGACAGCCATGCTGTTCTACTAGTTTATTCCACCTGCACATGCTGTGCATGACTATTCCCATATATTAGTGGTTCAGCAATAGTCGTAAACTGTTTCATACGTAATCATAAATAATATTAATGGTTATGTACCTGTGGTTCTTTTTAATTTGCGGCAGGCAGCACACAGGCAGAGCAGAGTGCAGCCATTGGCAGTGCCTTAGGACCCGACTGGCACGAGGGCCTAAGCCTGGAAGGGGCTCAAAAGGTAAGCGTGTGCAGCGCGGGGGCACGGGGTATCGTGGGTTATAAAGGAGCTGAGTTTGATCTTGTACAGGATGAGCTTGAGCCGAGTGGATTTGCGCCTGGCTGGTACCAGAGTTATCGACATCGGCTTGTGTGGAGTTGCATTTATGTACATATGTAGAACTTTTTCCGCACTGTATGTTGCCAACCGTGCGAATCGGAGGTGCGGGAATTGGGCTCCATGGCAGGTGCGTGTGTGTGTGTGTGGGGAGCGGTGGTGCAGTGGTTAGTGCGCAGCGCTACAAAACCCGGCAACTCAAGTTCGATTCGCGCTCACAACTTACACCATTGACGTTTATCTGAACCGGTCCTGGGCCTCCCCTAGGTCGACTCAGCCTCAAATTAGTACCTGGTGCGGTGTGTAAACATCGTCACTGGGGAGACAAAGGCAGCCGGGCGTGGTACTGGCCACCCCACCCCCTCGTGTGCCGTGCCGGCCTTCATAGGTGCTCGCTAACAGCACTTGCCGCAGCGGTCCGTCAAGGCAATGAGGGGGGATCTTTGTCTTCGTGTGTCAAGGGGCCGTGCAGGGTTCATGTGGAGTACGGCTGCGAGGTGGAGAGGATCCTCTCTCCGGAGGAGGTCGTCGCGTGCTCCGAGACGCCGCTGGCCTTCCCCGGACCGGACTCCCCGCAGCCCGACACCGGTAACGCGTCACCGTCGCCGACTTCCCGATCCCTAACCTTGTGGTAGTGGGCGGCAGAGCGGCGCAGCGGTAACACTGGTGCAGCGGTAACACTGGTGCAGCGGTAACACTGGTGCAGCGGTAACACTGGTGCAGCGGTAACACTGGTGCAGCGGTAACACTGGTGCAGCGGTAACACTGGTGTTTGTACGTTGTCTCTCCCCCTGTCGTTCTGCGTGCGTTCTCAGCTGGGTTTTTCGGTTTCCTCCCATAGTTAAAAAAAAGCGTACAATGTCACTGGTATTGCTCAAACTCGCAAATGCTGAAAAATTACCCGCAAATTACTCAGTCGTGTTTACAAATATCCCCCCCCCCTCCCCGCGCCCCAGGAAAGCCTCATTACCCTTATTCAGGTGGGTCTTACCAAGTTTTCACAGTAGGGGGTGGTGTTTGCTTTGTATAAATACAATGGAGTATTTGCGGGTAATATTTCACATTTTGGCAAACTTGGACTGTGACGCCAGCATATGGGGGCCTTACACAGGGTGGTCCAGATGTCTTGTGACCCCCCTTCCAATTAATTGACCCATAAATGAGTTTTTTTATTTCCTTTGCATATGCATTTGCCGTTTTAAACGAAACCTTATAATGATGTCACGGGAAGTTGAGCCTCCAGTGTGGAGCAGACGGCGCGTGTTGCTCTGATTAATTACACCCGTGGTAACAACCGGGGGCCGGCCGCTGGAAGTCGAACGGCGAACCTCTGCGACGAGCGGGGAGCTCCCGCCCGGCGCTCCCCTCGTCACCGTTGCCGCGTTCTTTTTTTTTTTTCCCGGGCCCGCGGCTGCGTTGGTGGGGGTGTGGGTGCACAGAGCTCTGGCCCGTGTACGCCAGGCTCACCAACGGGCGCACGTTCGGCTGCGACCTCGTCGTCAGCGCCACGGGCGTCGTGCCCAACGTCGCTGCCATCGTCGCTCGCAACGAGGTGAGGCTCCCCCGGCGGCTCGCTCAACGTAGCGCCGAGACGTCGACTGGCCGTGGCCACGCTGCCCGCGAGGCGCGAGGAAGTCCATTCGCAGATCCCCTTGTCGATCCGCTGCCGGGTGAAGGGCTGCCCACGGCACGCGTCAACGCGCACACGCAACGCGCCGCGCGAGCATTGTTGACGGTGAAATAGATGAGCAGACGATGGCTCCTTCGTGTTTGTCTGCGTCGCTGTTTTGTTGCGTGCGTTCTCCCCAACAACGGTGTCAGTTCTTTTGTTTGACTGATGGTTGTGCCGCACGCATTTCTTTTTGGTGACGGTAATGGTGTTAACAATGCGCAATGACGATGTTGCAATCACCATCATTGGGAATGGTGTCACCGCATGACGGCTGGCGACGGTGACGGGTGTCGCGTTACCATTGTTAGCGATGACTTCACCGCGTGGCGACGGCGGCGGTGGTGTTGTGTGACCATCATTTCGACGGCGGCGACGGCGCTCGCGGTGTGCGATGAGCAGCTGGCGCTGGCCGACGACGGGGGGCTGCGCGTGGACGAGCAGATGCGGACGTCCGTGCCGTGCGTCTACGCTGCTGGGGACGTGTGCTCCGCTGCCTGGGAGCCCCGGCCGCACTGGTTCCAGGTAGAGTCCACAAAGACAAAGGGTCCACCACCTCCAGTATAGCCTTTTAACAGACACTTGGGGGGCGGAGTGCTGTTGGTGAGTAGCAATTATGGAGGCCGGAAACGGGATGAGCTGGTGGGCGGACAGCACCACACCTGACCTCACCATGTCGTTGTTTAACGTTGAGTCAACCTAGGGGAGGCCCAGAGTGGGAATGGGGCACGGGTCGGGTTCACGCGCGCAGACGTACGGAGGAAACCAACTCGGATCTCCGAACTGTCGACGACCCTTAAATATCCCGGGTAATGGGTGCGGGGAGGAGTGGTCTGTGTGAAACAAAAACACGGACATTCCAAAACATATATACATTACCAAGATTCTGATTCATAAATAGTTTATCTTGGTTCGATCATGTAGTTATAATGTAACTTAGAGCTAAAACGCTCCACCATCCGATACAATTGTCAAAACTCTGCTTTAGTTTTCAACAATGAGCACGCATTAACCGGCTGAAAACACCTGAATATATCGAGGACCTCAGAGCTTTGTCAACTGTGGGCAGTGTCGGCGTACCTCCCGGTTGTTGCTGTTGCTGCCTTCCAGCTCGTCCGGTGTGCTCAATTTGCAAGAACGACGCAAAATGTAAAAAAAGACGCAAAGCAATTATTTCACGTTCCCCGGGTTGCTGGAAAAAACCTCAATTGGTCACTTGTCCTGATGACATCTTGATGATGTGTTTGCCAGTGTCGGTTGGTGAAGGGTGCAAAGCTCTGATTGACATCCCACCCACACTATCTACCCATACCCCTAGGTCAGTGGTCTTCATTGCAAGGACCGCGGGCCATTGGCGGACCTTAGTGCGGCCCCTGGCAATACACAAATGTGAAAACACCGCTTGCAGGCGGTGTGGTGGCCCTCACACCGATGTCTTATTGGCGAAAGTGGGCCCCCCTCTGAAAGTTAGTGAAGAACACTGCTCTAGATTGAAGGTTCATTTTCTTTGGAACTCTTTGTTGTCCTTCCCCCGCACCTCCGATTTGAACGGTTGGCAACGCACGGTGCGAAGGAAATTCAACATACATACGTACCTAACCCAAAGCGCCCAATGATCACGATTAGTCGTCATTGTTGTCGTTGCTGCAGATGAGGCTGTGGACCCAGGCGCGCCAGATGGGCGCCCACGCGGCGCGCGCAATGGCGGCGCACGCGGACGGGCGGCATGCCGAGCTCGACCTCTGCTTCGACCTCTTCACCCACGTCACCAGCTTTTTCGGCTACAAGGTGAGGTGGGGGGCGGTCACGTGTGACGTCGCTCCCCCGCGCAAGGTGCTTACGCTGGCCCCCCTCGGCACGCGAGCCGGGAAGCGAGCCCCAAGCCCGGTGATACCACGGCCATCCTCGTCCTTGCGAGCCCTGGGCCTTGTCCTCTACTTCCTCCCTGCCTCTCTCGCTCAATCCATGTTTCTCCGTGACCCCCTCTTTGCTTGCGTTCTGCACGTACAGGTGATACTGCTGGGACGCTTCAACGGGCAGGGCCTGGCCACGCGGCTAAATAAAGACGGAGGCGGTGGCAGCAGTGGCAACGCCGGCACCGGTGGTGGTGGTGGTGGTGACGCAAAGGTCGATGGCGATGACGGTGGCAATGGGAACGGCGACGGCGGCAATGGGAACGGCGGTGGCGATGGAAGCGACGCCGGCGCTGAAGTTGGTGGCCGCAGCGGCCAGGAGCTGCTGGTGCGCAGCAGCGGCACGCTGGAGTACGTGAAGGTGGTGCTGTTGGACGGGCGCATGGCGGGCGCCGTGCTCGTGGGCGACACGGACCTGGAGGAGACATTCCACAACCTCATCCTCAACGGCACCGACCTCTCGCCCTACGGCGAGGATCTCCTGCACCCCGACGTAGATATCGAGGACTACTTCGACTGAACGGCGCAGGGGGGTCCGCAGGAGGAGGGGGGGATGGGATTGGGCTCGGAAATTTCGGATGAGCTGGCACAAACCATTGTCATCGTCATTGGCCACAATCGATCGACTACTAGACGAAGGCCTCGCTAAGCCTTCGCCACGCTCGTGGTTTTGCGACGCGACGTGTGTGTGTGTCTGTACGTTGAACTTATTTCGCATCGTACGTGGCCGACCGCGCTAATCGGAGGTGCGGGGGGACGTGCGCACGGCGCCTCGCAGGCGAGGCGCCTTCGTCGCATCACCCGGCACGGGATGTCAGGTGACGAGTTCGGGGTGCCGTGTTGACGGTGAAGGAAAGCGAGCGGGCTCGGGCAGGGCTAGAAGGCATTGGTCTCGGACCTGCGGTTGAAACTCAACAACGGAGCGGAAGCCAAAGCTGGGAGCACTCCCCAAGAGAGGGCGCCCAAAGCTCACAATGTGCGACGCATCGCCAAGTCGGCACGAGGCGGTGAAACTCGCGTCCGCGTCCCCCGCGCAGCGACAGAGTTTTAGTGAGCGACCCACAGAAGCTGGCGTCGCAGAACTACCTCTCGACGCACCTTCACCCCGGGCCCTCTGCCCAACACTGGACCGGTGCCCCTTTTGGCTCCGTCCAGGTCGTTTTGTCACGCGGCACTCGTGCCATCGTTTTCGCATCTCGGTGCGGGCACATGCTCACTCCGGCGATCAACCCAAATGTTTACGCGTTAGATTTCGTGCGGAGGCATTGCTGATTGGGTCGGAATGATCGACCTGTTCAGCTACGCGATCTCTTCTTTCAGTGCGAGAGGCTGAAGTCCGAATGCGAACCCAGTTCATCAGGCAAATAAAACGCGTGCTTACAAATTGGTGTCAATATAATTCTTGTTTCGTGTCTTTAAAAAAATTTTTTGGGGGGGGGGGGGAGGTGGGTGAAGCGGTGGCGTAGTGGTTAACGCAGCACGCTATGAACCCGTGACCAGAGTTCGATTTCAGGCCACGGCCGACATCAGTGGTGAGTGTTCATCTTAAAACCGTTGCCGTGCCTTTTGTTTCACCAACCTGTCCTGACCAGCGTGGTGAGGTATCGGTCAAATAAACCCCATGACTGACAAAAGGACTGAATTCATGACCAAATCGGTGTGTTTTTGAGCCGTTGACTACGTGTGTGTGGGCGTTGACTGCGTTGATGCGTGTGGAGCAGACGGCATTGCGTAGTGGGGCATTGTGATATTGGTCGCACCCGGTCACTCTTGCAAGTGAGACTAATCCCGGTTTCTTCGAGTTCTCCACCCGCAGGATACTTGGGCATCAAACGCCAATGTGTGGAAAGCGTTGGGCAGACAGGATTTAGGAGCGAGTATACGCTCACAAGCTCTGTGCCAGAGAGAGAGGGGGCAATTGTTTTAAGGGTTGTAGAATTTTAAAGGCGAGTGAGAGTGATGAGAGAGCTGGGGGTACGACGCCACAGGGGGAACCGTTCTGGCCAAACGTGTGAAAAAAGTGGCCATCGATTTAGAAGGATCCGCTTATCCAATTGTGGCCACCCGGTCTGCCTGGAGTCACTGGAGGGCGTTGTGGCGTCACGGTGGAAATCTGTGCGCGTCGACAAAGCGCGCGCACCCTGGTGTTGGACGGCTGATAACAACACACACCCGGCTGCTCACTTTCCATATTTAAATACCGCAGAAGAGGATCATTCTGCGTACGCAATCTTGTAGCGTTATATATTGTACAGTGTTTGGTACTGTACTGGAGTTTATAATAATAATCCGTGCATTCTTGGCTTGGAATAGTCTGCATGTGCAGATGCATCGATTCACTAAAATCGATTCTACGCTCGGTTGCCGATGCTTTACTTGCGTATGATGACAGCGATATTAAACTAAACTTTTTATTTTACCAGGTAAAGCCCATTGAGCTATATGGCTCTTTTTCAGAAGCGACCTGGCCACGTGGCTTATGATGTGGACATTTATAGCAGCCAAATACTCGAAACGCACGTTGTTTATAAATGTGGAGGGGAAAACCGGAGGACCCGGAGAAAAAAAATCGACGCGACCACGGGGAGAGAGAGAGAGAGACGCAAACTCCAAATCTACAGACGTCGGGTTCGGGATGGAACCCACGACCTCCTGCGTACCAGGCTTCAGGAGAGAGGGACTAGACTATAGAGGGGTTTACAATACGGGGCGTAGGTTTGGATTGCATGACGGCTACAGAGTCACACTAACGTGGCTTTTGCTTTAAATTCCCAATTATGAAGGAAATGCCTGAGATGTGTCGATGTGCAAGAACCAGGTATGGGCATTTGACTGCTGTGTGTTCAGTTCATCGCGATGCCATCAAGGCACAGACCGTATCCTGCTTGCGCAGTGCAAACTGATCTGTATGATCACTCTGGTGACAGTCGTTTGTTTACCTTTCCTCTCCTTTGCACTCCAATCGTGTTGTTTTTTGGATTGTTTGTTATTTTAACTTTCTGACCCGCCCCCTACTGGACATATGTGAGATTACAGTATGTAGTATTATTACTACTGCTACAGCAGACATGACCATGCTGCCAGGTTTTAGGGTCGGGGCGATGATTGCTGAATCGGCAAAAATGTGGACCGTGTACCCCGTGACGCTGGCACAAAGACAAAGATCCCCCGTGTAGCCTTAACAGACAGTAGGGGCAAGTGCTGTTAGCGAGCACCTATGAAGGCCGGCACGGCGCACGAGGGGGTGGGTGGCCAGCACCACGCCCGGCCGCCTTTGTCTCCCCAGTGGCGATGTTTACACATCGCACCAAACTACTCATTTGAGGCCGAGTCGACCTAGAGGAGGCCCCAGGACCGGTTCAGATAATCGTCACCGGTGTTGACCGTGAGCTGGAATCGAACCCGGGTCGTCAGGTTCGTAGCGCAGCGTACACGCTGGCACGCACGCAGTGGCCCATGCTCTGGTAATGATCGTCACGGGATTGTTTACGGTCACCGTGAGGTGCAGAGCAGCGTACACGTGTTTTGTTATGCAGCGTGCAGGCAGAGACGGCAGGCTGTGTTATTGTTGTCCCAGGTCCACAAATTGGGCAACTTCGCCAGGGTTGCCACTAGGTCCGGGTTTTTTTTGTTTCACACCAAAGAGTTTACCTGCCTGGCCGGGAATTGGCAACTGTGTTCTGGCGGCACGAATTGATGCACCGTATACCGAGATGTGGTTACTTGGGACTGTGTTGTGGTGGACTTTACTGCAGTACACGGACACATTTGTAAAAGGGCGAGGTTGGCTGAGGCATAATACATCCGGTGTTAGGCTGTGGACAAGGTGGCAACCCGAAACCACGCAGTCAACGTTTCCGAATCGTCCAAAGACATTACGGGGTGTCGTTTTGAAGGCAATTGCGTATAGCCGTAAGGTAATATGGGTTGGTTATGGAATAAGCCCACGGTTTGACAGAGACAACGATTCTCCCTGCGTGGACGAAAGGAGCAAGTCCGTCCTGAGTGCGTCTCTTCTCGACAAAGGTGGACGCGTTATTTCCATCCGACACACATGGGCGACTACTGCTGGCCGTGACGTGCTCATGATGGACGATGTTACAGATCGCCCACGTCTGTTATCTGTGGAATGGAAATCTTAAATTGCGGCGATCATTCCCCAATGTGGTTCTCACGCCGAAATGCAATCCGTGGGTTCAATTCACACGCAACAGCCAGGAGTGGCGAGTGAAACCTGAATCCGAGGTCAACTCGGCCATAGACGAGAGCCTGCTTGCCTGCGTGTTGTATACATTTGAATTTTGGGGCGCCTTCTATTCACGGTTCGCACCGTACGCTAGCCAACCGTGCTTGATCGGTGGCCGAGCGAGGCACTGCCCACCATCAGCCCTGTTGTGTATCATGAATTGCGTTAATAGGCGCTCGCTAACAGCATTGTCCCCCTACTGTCTGTTAAACGAGTGATGCGTGATGGAGAGAGAGAGAGAGAATTGGTCGCTATGGCTATCCAAGGACATTTGTATCTGATCCTGGTCTGGGGCTGCCCAGGATCGACTTGGCCTAAAGTGGATGTGTCATCAGTAATTGGGAGACAAAGGCAGCCGGGGTACGCGTGTGGTATCGATCACAAAAGCCCCTTTATATTTAATTTTATATCTTAGGTTGACTGAGTACCTCTGGTGTCGTTGTGTAAACATCGCCACTCGGGAGACAAAGGCGGCCAGGCGTGGTGCTGGCCAGCCACCCTCTCACGTGCCATGCCGGCCTTCATAGGTGCTGCTCGCTAACAGCACCTGCCCCAAACGTATTTTAAGGCTTTTGTCTTTGTTTCTTTGTTTATCAGGTAGAAAAGTGAACCCGTCCATCCGAAAGGCACAGACACACCCCCCCCCCACCCCCCCCCCCCCATTTGAATTTCTGACAAAATGTTCGAAAATTTAGTTGTATTTCTAGACATTCTGTCTCTGGCTGCGCTGCGAGATTCCATCAAAATACATTTAAATGATGTACTGTAGGATGGTTATGATCGTAGATAACATCCAGATATGACAGCTCAGTACACTGACGCACGCATGCTCACCAAAAGTGCACATGCCCCCTCCCTGCAAACAAAGATGAAGACAAAGATATTTGGCATAGACCACGGGTCGGGAAACTGCCACTCTTTAAGAACTGCTTCGTGACGTCATTTATTAGTGGCAACCGCCTGTTATTCGCGTGCATCGCGGCTCTCGAAATATAGAGTTCTTTGAATTTTACGAATTCGAAAAACATGGCTCTTCTTGTTATTGGTTACCATGGAAGTCTAGTTTACCATGGGAGTCCAGTTTTCCATGGAAGCCCAGTTTAACATGGAAGTCCAGTTTTCCATGGAAGTCCAGTTTACCATGGAAGTCCAGTTTACCATGGAAGCCCAGTTTACCATGGAAGCCCAGTTTAACATGGGCAGGGGTCAGCAGTCTGAGAAAGGTATCACTCGCCACCGATGATGTTAGCCAGGACCTGGAGTCAAACCCACATAAGCCGGGTTCATTGCCACGATGCCACCGCTCCTCACAAAGGCGAAGGCGATGTACCCGAATTCACGCACTCTTGAGCACAACACAAGGTTGCCCACTTGGTACACTGACCCTGAGATGTTGACGATGGGGTTGTGACCACTGGTAGAGGGATGCCAACACGGATGAGCACAGGGACGCTGGAGACAGTTTGTAATTTGGCGCCACGGTGGCGAGATGTTGACTACCTCGCCTGGTATTCAGGAGGTCGTGGTTTGATCCCGACCCTGACGCCTGCTGTTGTATATTTGGAGTTTGCGTATCTCTCTCGCTGTGATCGCATGGATTTTTCTCCGGGTCCTCCGATTTTTTTCCTCCACATCTAGAACCAAACTCACGCGTTCGGCTGCTAGAAATGTCCACATGACGACAAGCCACTTCGTTGAGCTATCATTTGTGATAGCCAGGTCGCTTTTGAAAAAGAGCTAAAAAGCCTGACCCGGTAAAATAAAAATGTTTGAATTTTTGTTTGAGTAATGAATGTCAGAACAACTGTCAGGGCTGCAGCTGTGCGACCCCTGGGGAGCTGTGTGCAGCACCCGAAGCTCCGAGCCGATTCAGGTCTTAAGTGGGGGAGAGAAAGAGATAAGGAGAGAGACGCGGAGAGTCGGGGACACATTCACACTCGAGCAAACATGAAGGGAGATGCAGAGGGAGTCATGGGCCGTAATTCCCATGAAACTGTGTTTTGGCTGTCATTATGCCCTTCATGCCCTTTACCAACATGTAATTCAATCACGTGGGCAATGCAAAGGCACTGCATGGGTACGGGTGGTAGCTGTGGGTGGCGTGACATGAATTTGTTTTTTCCGCACCCTGATAAGTG